GAAGGTAAAGAGGAAGACAGCCTAGGTTTGCTGGATGTAAAGAGGAGTCTTGTAATTTATTTAGACAGGTCCAGGGAATTTAGGAAATCCGATTCCCTTTTTGTTTTGTTTTCAGGGCAGAGAAAGGGGTTAGCAGCATCTAAAGCCACGATAGGCAGGTGGATTAGGCTGGCTATTGGGGAATCTTACAAGGTTTTGGGGATTCCACCTCCTTTTGTTAAGGCCCACTCAACTAGATCCTTGGCAGCGTCCTGGGCGGAGAGAGCCGGGGCTTCGCCGGAGGAAATCTGTAAGGCAGCCACTTGGTCGAGGTTTTCTACCTTCGTGAAGCATTATCGCTTGGACATCCTGTCAGATAAGGAACAGGCGTTCGGACGCAAGGTCCTCCAGGCGGTGGACCCACCCTAAGGGGGTAAGTTCTCGTTTATCGTCTCAGATGGCTGTCCTGGAAGACGTAGGGAGAGAAAACCAGAGTTAGACTTACCGGTAACTCCTTTTCTACGAGTCTTCCAGGACAGCCGGTAATTCCCACCCTTCTAATGTACAACCGAGAGAGTTAAGGTTGACTGCATGAAAATTGTATTTACCTATATTTGTGTCTTTCAGTGGCTTCCGCTAGTTCTCTTTTAATAACTGGATGTGAGGCCCGGAGGCCCGCCTTTTAAAGGCATGGGGGATGGGTGTGTTTCCTGACCCGGAGGGAGGAGCCCAAGGTCTCAGATGGCTGTCCTGGAAGACTCGTAGAAAAGGAGTTACCGGTAAGTCTAACGTGTGAAAAAAGTATAGCGAGCGCTACAGGTACAATAGCACAAGCAGCTAGAACACCAAAAAGGCAACCAATCCTCCTTGCAATAGTCAATAATAAAAGAAAAGTAGGTGCAGCGCTAAAAGCAAAATAAAATATTTCTCTGTAGGATAAATATATAAATATCAGTGGTCAAACAGATATACCACAAGGTGAATAGTGCATTGAGTCTATAAAGGGTGCTGAGAGCACGTACAAAGTTCTCATCCCAGGGTGATGGTAGTAAAAGGTAGAGGGAATCCTGGAAAACAGATAGAGTGCGCACTCACCAGAAGTGCGTTAAAGTAACGCATGTAAGGAAGTAGCTGCTGCAAGATCTCTCCAGCATCAGGGATCTGGTCAGGTCGCACTGCGTCCTATCCACTGTCTCACCGCAAGAAGAGGTGGCCAAGTAGCATCCGAACGTGTGAGCGTGAGCGTCAGGGAACTCCTTGGTCCAAAGAAGTGCTGTGGGAGATGGTGCTCTCATAGAGAGCCCAATGAAGGACGCCACATGGTGTAATATTGTTTGACTTGCGTTTAATAGTCAAAAAAGGGGGGTAAACAAAAAAGTACTGACCATGAGTAGTAGGCCACATATAGTGGCTAGATGTCCATAAGCTGTAGCCCCCCCTGACGCGTTTCGTGCGATGCACGTCCTCAGAGGGTCAGGGCTTACAGCAGGACATCGTTACTCATCTATTTATATGGAGAAATGGCAATCGCGCTAGTCGCGGCGGCCATTTTGCCGGCGTCTCGCGCATGCGCAGTTGATCGGCGCCATTTTGCCGAAGATCATTACAAGGGAATACACTGAAAAGAACAGATCCTCCTAGTGACCTGATGCATATGGTGTATACCAGGCAGGCGCCATGATATAGGTGGGAAAAGAGAAAACGAAACAACATTGTCAGACAGCAACTAAACTGCTGACAAAAACGAACTATAATAAACATAAATCATGATACAAAAAGGGGCATTGTACTTATCCAATGACAAAGACTGCACACCAGGATAAATATATCCACATGGAACTGGATAATTTGGTGGCATATTATAAGATGATATATATATATATATGTAAGTGCTAATTATAAAATTTGCATAGTGTGAAATTAAAGGGGATTGCTCCATTGTTTTACTGTAACTTAGGTTCAGCAAAAGTGAGAACAAGAAAATCATACTAATAAAAAATTATGAATGTAAACGATTGTAAAGAAGTTGTGCGATAGCGATTTCTTCTGCAGTAAATAGATGAGTATCAATACATTTAAAATACAATAAGTTTTTATTAGGTATATATTAAAAATAGGTCAGTACGGTATGGTATATTTCATATGGTCAGCAAAAAAAACTCATCAAATCCAATAATAATACATAAAATGGTACATGAAATACTGTATTGTAAAATGTATAATAAACATTATACCTAAAAGGTTAAAATGCTAGAATAGAATAGAGTAGAATTCACAATGACAAAATAGTATTGATGTTGATAAAACAGAGGTGTTGTCCACCACATTCATTCATACAAGAAAAATTATCAGGGCAAAGAAAGGAATGATCTCAGGGTACTGTAAATGCACATTAGCTGTCATCGATAAAGCAATTCAAATCAGATTCAATGTTAAGACCTTTTGGGTGTAAGGATCCAAGGTCATATATCCACTTGGACTCTAATTGTGAGATAGCTCTTTTCTTATTTTGGCCTCTCCAATGTGCATTTATCATTCCTATACCCATGAAAATTAATGACGAGGGATCTTGGTTATGATGCGTTTTGTAATGCAAGGATAGCGAATGATCCTTATAGCCCTTTCTAATATTGTTCACATGTTCTTTTAAACGGTCCCTCAATCGTCTAGTTGTTCGTCCAATATATTGTAAATGACAGGGACACTGCATTAGGTAAACAACATATTTACTTGTGCAGGTGATGCAATCGTCAATCTTAAAGGTTTTACCATTTGCTGTAGAGTTGAAGCTTGTATGTCTACTTGTAAACTTGCTGTTAGTGCAGATCATACACTTTTTACATGGGGTAAAAACCTTTAATTTGTGGGAAGAAAGAAGTGTGTACAGGGGGATCAAGAACATTTGGGGCTATTCTATTCCCTAGAGGGGTGACTTTCCTAAAAGCAATCTGCGGTTGATCTGGTAAAAATTGTCTTAAAACTGGATCTGACATCAGAATCTTCCAATTGTTGCGAATTATCCTGGTAACTGATTTATATTGGGTTGAATAGTTTGTCACAAAAGGACAAACTCTTTCAGGTCTCTTGTTAGTATTCTTTTGCAACATCACATCTCTGTTGGAGATGCCTACTTCTGTCATGGTTTGTATTAAAGTGTTTTCGTCATAACCCTTCTCAAGGAACTTGGTTTTAATGATGGCAGCCTGTTTATAGTATGTATTAACATCAGTGCAATTGCGTCTGATTCTGGTAAAAACTGTCCCTTAGGTATATTTTGTAACCATGCCGGGTGGTGGCAGCTTTCCAAGGGAATGTAACTGTTTCTGTCAGTTTTCTTGAAAAATGACTCAGTTATGATTCTTCCTTCAACATTTAGCAAAGTCAGATCCAGAAAATTAATACTCTCATGACTATAATTAAAAGTGAGGTTAATATTAAGAGAGTTAAAATTTAAAGTAGTAAAAAAATTTAAAAGTGATTCTTCGCTGCCATTCCATATGAGGAGGATGTCATCTATGAATCTCCTGTAAAAGGAGAGTTCAGGCCAATCTCTGGCATAGATGACATCCTCCTCCCATCTGGCCATAAACAGATTTGCTAGGCTGGGGGCGAATTTTTTTATGGCCAGATGGGCCATTTTTTTTTTTTTTTTTTTTTTGTTTACCCCCCTTTTTTTTTGACTATTAAACGCAAGTCAAACAATATTACACCATGTGGCGTCCTTCATTGGGCTCTCTAAAAAAGAAAATGAGAGCACCATCTCCCACAGCACTTCTTTGGACCAAGGAGTTCCCTGACGCTCACACGTTCGGATGCTACTTGGCCACCTCTTCTTGCGGTGAGACAGTGGATAGGATGCAGTGCGACCTGACCAGATCCCTGATGCTGGAGAGATCTTGCAGCAGCTACTTCCTTACATGCGTTACTTTAACGCACTTCTGGTGAGTGCGCACTCTATCTGTTTTCCAGGATTCCCTCTACCTTTTACTACCATCACCCTGGGATGAGAACTTTGTACGTGCTCTCAGCACCCTTTATAGACTCAATGCACTATTCACCTTGTGGTATATCTGTTTGACCACTGATATTTATATATTTATCCTACAGAGAAATATTTTATTTTGCTTTTAGCGCTGCACCTACTTTTCTTTTATTATTGACTACCGGTAAGTCTAACTCTGGTTTTTCTCTTCTGGGAAGGCTGTCCACAAGGTTTAGGAGTGTGTCTATGGGAATGTTTGACCGTTCTTCTAGAAGTGCATTTGTGAGGTCAGGCACTGATGTCTGACGAGAAGGCCTGGCTCACAGTCTCCGCTCTATTTCATCCCTAAGGTGTTCTATTGGGTTGAGGTCAGGACAAGTTCCTCCACCCCAAAGTTGCTCATACATGTCTTTATGGACATTGCTTTGTGCACTGGTGCACAGTCATGTTGGAACAGGAAGGGGCCATCCCCAAACTGTTCCCACAAAGTTGGGAGCATGAAATTATCCAAAACGTCTTGGTATGCTGAGGCCTTAAGAGTTCCATTCACTGGAACTAAGGGGCCAAGCCCAACCCCTGAAAAACAACCCCACACCATAATAACTCCTTCCACCAAACTTTACACTTGGCACAATGCAGTCAGGCAAGTACCGTTCTCCTGGCAACCATCAAACCCAGACATGTCCATCATATTGTCAGACAGAGAAGCATGATTCATCACTCCAGAGAACACATCTCCACTGCTCTAGAGTCCAGTGGTGGTGTGGTTTACACCGCTGTATCCGACCCAGGAGCGGACTGACCATTTGGAAACTCGGCACTGCCCGAGGGCCAGGGGTCAGTAGGGGGCCCCATGAGATGCCCCTGGTACCTTTTTCATAGGCTTTTTTTAGTTTGGGCAAGGACACAGGGGCCCCATGATCCCCTATTGCCTGGGGGCCCCATGAGTTATCAGTCCGCCCCTGATACATTCCATGAAGCTCTCTACGCACTGTTGTTTTGTTAATCTAAATGTCACATGAAGTTAGGAGGTCTTAAGCTATTGACTCTGCAGACAGTTGGTGAGTTCTGCGCACTATGCGCTTCAGCATGTGCTGACCCCGCTCCATCATTTTATATGACCTACCATTTCGTGGCTGAGTTGTTGTTGTTCCAAATTGCTTCCACTTTGTTATAATGCCACTAATAGTTTACTGTGGAATATTTAAGAGCAAGGAAATTTCACGGATGGATTTATTGCACAAGTGGCAACCTATTACGGTACCACGCTTGAATTCACTGAGCTCCTGAGAGCGACCCATTCTTTCACAAATGTTTGTCAAAGCAGTCTGCATACCTATGGGCTTGATTTTATACACCTGTGGTCATGGAGGTGATTGAAACACCTGAATCCAATGATTTGGAAGGGTGTCCGAATACTTTTGACAATATACTGTGTGTGTGTGTGTGTGTATATATATATATATATATATATATATATATATATATATATAAAATATAATTTTTTTTTTGCAAATTAACTATTTTCAGTAGATAATCCTCATTCTAATTTAACCACTTTTTTTGCTAAATAAAAAACTGGATAAATTCAGCATCAACAGTAAAACTTCAAACAGCATAAGTATAGTATAGTCTACATTTACCATCACAAATACCCTTTCTAAAGGCTACGATTGCTGACCTCATTCTAAGAATAATAGTTGCCTGTCTGTCTTCACTATCTCTGTATCCAACATCCAATTTTAACATATGAAGTAACTACATAATAACACTTAAAGAGGGCCTAGAACTCTTGTTCTGCACTTAGTTCCTGTGTGAAGGCAGCCATCTTGGTATTTTCAGGGCTTTCTTTCCTTGTGTCAAAGCCTACAGCATGGAGAACAGCGCAGTAGTGACTTCAGGAAATCTTACCCTAAATTTCCTGACATTAGCAGTCAGAGGCAGTAGTACCTTAACCAAGAGGAAAGTGGAAGTATTGTAGAAATGTAGCGAATATGTTTTTGTACTTTTGCCCAGACATACAGAATAATGGCATCTGAAATCTGTGTGTTTGGATTGGATGAGATTTCAGATATTCTGATACAAAAAGGACTAGAGTGATGATGACCGATGCCCAAAACATCATTTTTATTTACACATAATCCATATAATTTCTTTATGTGATTTGTAAAGAACAGAAACAATACAGGGCTTCTACTTTACAATCTTCATGCTGTGTGGAGAGCACAACGTACAGTTTATCTCTTCCTGTTTAAATATAGCACAACATAAATTTACTGCACTGTCAAGATCCCATGCCAAGTGTATATTAAAAGCTGGATTATGTAACAATACAATTGCTCTCTTTTATAAGATGTGCAATTGCACTAATCTGTGAAGAGCAATGTAAAGTATAAATCTTTACCAGTTCATATGCTGTATATGCACAAAGTTACAATGCTATGTGTTTATTATGTGACCATACTGTGTAGTGTTCGTACATGCAGCAAACCAGTTACAGGGAGCTTTGTCTTTAAAGGGAACACTTTTTATAGTTTTAGATAGAGTAAGGAAGAAATAGAACCTCTGCCAGGTTTTTATGGCTGTCTATGTCCCCACTATTGAGAGTCACTGAGATTAATGTGAAACTGCATCCTGCATACTGCTTTCCCAAGGACCCTGCCATTTGCAAGATCCAAACTCGCTTTAATCTTACCAGGGAAAGGCTCCCAGAACTGCTACTGTTTTGTCTGATTTCCCCAGACTGTATCCCAATTTGTGGCCCAATCATCTCAACAGGCATGGCTGCTAGGAATTTATTAAACCATTCTGTACTTTTGCATTATTTGTTAATATATAATACACACTTTTGGTGCCTGATTAGGATGATTTCCCATCTACGTTAATGGGATTTCAATTTAGAAAAACTGTAATTTTGCAGGCTTGTGAGTTTGTAAAAAGTTTGATTGAGCTACAACTGATCCAGCTTCAGAAATTCACTCATATACATTTACAATATACTGTACATTAACCAAGAATATCTCTTTTCATTCAAATTATATTATTATTATTTTACAGCACCAATAGTTTCCATAGCACTTTTTGTTTTTCAATTCTTTATTTATAGACTTGAACAAGAAGTATCATATAGTACTCACAACATAAGCAACAATATAGACCCCTAACGATATCGTCTTACAATGAAATGCGTAGGGTTGACCGTGTAATGTCATCGCATATCGGATTGCGGCCATCTTGCTGGTTTGAAACTTTTCATCTATATGCAATATGCTGATTTTTTTACCTGATATTTGTGAGTGCATTACCATTGAATAAATCTGAGAACCACTATTTACTACACTATGAGATGGTTTTGTTTCCTCTCTGGTTTACATATTTTTGAAAGATAACTTTCGATTCCAGTGGACCGGACCTTGATCCTGGGATAGTTTTGTACATATGTGTGCCAGTGGAGTGGGACCCTGGAAGTTTAGCCATCATACTATGATTTTTGAATGCGTTTCTTACCATTTGGCTTTGGTAGTCATGGCTATGTGGTAAGAGACTGTGTGTGCAGATTGACGATGTAGGATCTCTTTTCTGGGTTCTATCACACTCTGAAGCACTTTTATACATGGTCAACTTTTGATTATCCACTGGACACTCCATAAGGACAAGTTTGGATGGACTTATGGTCCCAAGTGTGGTTTTATAATAGAAAGAACTATTGTTGCACTTTTCTTTTTGGTATTGTTTTACTTTTTGATTTTGAATGTAATAATTAGTGCTGCACTTCTTTTTACATCAACAATATAGGTTTTTGAGAAGACCACAGGCTCTGAACAGGCAAGGAGAATTGGCAAGCTTACAAATATTAAGCTATGTGATTGGATACAATGAAAGAGCAAAGTCTGTTACTGTACAGTACTTCACAACAGGGAGCAATGAAAAGTTGCTGTACTCTGTCTTGGATAATCTTGTTAAGCCATCAAATATTTACAAAAGTAGAAAAATAGAAGAGGGAAAAACTAGAGAATACTACACAAAAAACAAAAAGAGAAGTTGGGAACTAATTTACACCAGGACAAAAAAAGAGGAGAATGGAAAAGGAAGGAGAGTGAATAAAACTTTGCTAACAAAGAAAAAAAAAAGGGAGGAAAAGTGGGGCGGGGGGATGAATAAATAATAAGTAAGGGAAGGCCACCAGGAAGCCCAAACAATCTGGAGAATAAGAGCTGATTCATACTTGTGCAGTGTGGACTGAGGTTCAGGTTTCACAGCTAATTGATACAGTAGGTTTGTTCACAGGTTCAAGTCAAGTTTACATCAGGTTCAGGACAGGATTAGTTAAGGGTCTTATCTTTTTGACACATATGCAGTTTAGAAACAGTTCCTAATGAAGTAAATAGCCTGTAATCTGCACCTGAACTGGAGTGCTCTGCTCAGAAATTGGACAGAACTCCTTTTAAAATCACACTAAATCCGCACTGAATTCACACCTCCAGTGCACTGGACATATGTAAACAGGCACCACAGGAATCAATGTTTTTTCACATGTCATGCAGATTGGATACGGTTCAATTCGCATCCAATCCACATATATGTAAATGGACACTAAAAGGGAGGAACCCATAGTAAGGTTCTGTGCAGCACTTTTCATAATAGATGTATTTGTAAAACTGTATAAACATTTGCAGAGGGTTAATTGAGGATCTTAAAGCGGAACTTCACTCAAAAGGGGAAGTTCTGCTTGTTTGCATCCACCCCACCTCCACTGCCATATTTGGCACTTTTGAGGGGAGGGGGGGGACCTGGTTTTGACAGATACTCACTCCCACTCTCGGGGCAGATGGCAATGGTAATCTGTGAGGAAGTTTGGCCCCTCCTCCTTCCCCCTCCTCCTTCTGGAACACACACAGGTCCCAGAAGGCTGCGGGACCATTCACAAAGTGCAGCAAAGCTTGCGCATTCACTGTGGGAAACCAGCTATGAAGCCAGAAAGCTTCATTGCCTGTTTCCCTTACCTGAAATGTCAGCTTCTGCACTCGAAGCTGATTGAAAAATTGGCTTGGGTGAGGTCACCACTGGATCCCTGGACCGGTAAGTGTTCTTATATTAAAAGTCAGCAGCTACTGTGATTGTAGATGACTGCAGCCCTGCTTTAAAGTAGAACTGAACCCAAAAAGTGAAAATTTGCTATGTTATATGGAATATCTAGAAATATTAATTGTGCCCAAGCAGTACCCTGAAAATCTGCCTGTTGCACAGATCTGATATTCCGGCAACAACTGACTATGAACCTTGTCAGGTTAGTGTCACACCATTACTTTAAGAGATCAGGGTTTTTTTTGAGGATAATCAGGATGAAGTGAAATTGTAAACTATCTGTTTGTTACGTCTGAAATATTCCAGATCATAGTTAGCTGCAAATAGGAATTATGAAAATAGAAATAAAGTCTGAACAAAATGATGAGTGCAATAACATTACTTCAAATAAAACTTTGAAAATAGACAGGAACATTATGAAGACAAATGCATCAGAAATACAACAGATTATAATGTTTAACAAGCGGGCTCTTACGTTCTATTTTTTAACTTTGTAAATTGCAACAGATTGTTATTATATCACCACAATGGAATGATACAGAGCTCAGTGCCAGATTTAACATAGCATTTTACTTAAAGAGGCAACTGAATGGTAAAGCCAAGAGATTTGATTGGCTCATAGTCTTCATTTGCTTCAAATAATACAACCCTAAATAGCTCTCACAAAGAAGCAATGTTTTGAAGGACTTCTATTCCCCCTAGTCAGTTTACTGTGTAAATCATGAGCCAGAATAAAATGGAACAGTGTTGGAAAGTCAAATAGGTAATTTACACTCAGTAATAGCCAAGACCTAACGTTCTGAAACAAAGACCAACAATTATGTGGAGTGCTATCCATCCTGATGAAGATTGCCATGCATTAGTAGGTCCCGCTTGGAATCTAAAATGAAATGTCGTTATTAAATGATTGTAATAATTCATCCATGTGGTCAGATCTCACAGATTTCCTGTGTACAAAGTGCTATCCACATAAAGAGGGCTCTTCACTAGACAACCTGGGAATTGGAAGCTGAAATAGATTGCCTGGTGCAATCCTTGTGAATTTAGTGTATGCGCTCAATGAAATTTAAAACCTAACAATGCAATGATAGTCCGATCTAATTCAACTCTGGACAAATCAAACACACCCTGATGTGTAGCAGATCTGCCTATACATAATATGACCACATCAAAAAAATCCATTTCATTAGACACTGTGCCAAACTTCTGATTCATGTGGGAAACAAAAGAAAATACATATGATCATTGCATGCAATGCTTTTGTTATAATTTGATTGTATAACCCCCATGAATTACCAAAATGAGTGTCAAATATTTCAACTAGGAAAAAATATACTAATTAAATTATTATAGCATTGATATTTTACGTTATTTCCATTAGTTTTTAATCAGGTTTTAAACATTTTTTTGGGCAACTCCTCTCTTCATCCGTATAGCAT